TCTCATTCTTTTGGCCACTCATGCATTCTCATGTATTTTCATAATGCACCCGTTGCATTAACGACGACCATATAGTCTCTCAACTCGGAAAACTTGTTAATTTCCGAGTGGAATTTTTGAGCTCTTAAGCTGATTTAGATTAAATGATAGAGAAATTTTCCATGTTTGATGATGTATTCAACATCGTATTAAAGTTCCTGCATGAAAAGGATTTGGTGCTAATATAATCTCAACTTTATTACAAGTAAAGGTGACAACGAACTCGAACGATCATAGTAAAAAGTGGATTTTAGTTCGTTCGTTTGTTCGAATCCATCTTCGAACGAACAAACGAACAATTCGAACGAACATCTTTCCGAACGTTCGAATATGTCTCAATACGAACAGTTCGACTGTTCGAATGCATTCGAACGAACGAACACCTTGAATGTTCGTTTGAATATTTTTTTTGTAAAAAAGTTTCCTCTTCCAATAGGTTAGTTTTTAAAAAATAGAGTAATACCTCTTCCAAGCGGAAAACATTTGTATTTTAAAAAATATAATTTTATTGAAAAAATGAGGTAACATTAAAATGAACTTCAAAATCGTCGATACGTCAAGCATTCCGCCTCCACTTCCGATCCGTGGAGATTTACATGAACTGTGCGACGGTGCTTTGTGAAGTTGCCGACAGACATAAACGTTTTCTCGCACACAAGGCATTTGATTTGTAATTTACAAGTGCAAAGCTTATACGAGAAACCGAAGAAGCGATAGCCAGAGTTTCATGAATGGATTTTACACGTCTCTTTCTGTAGTTATCTCTCTCTCGCTTTATCTATCTGTCTATCTAATATCGACTTCTCTGTATTTGTGTGGCGTGTTTTACCGGAAAATATGATTTAAACTGTTTGGCTGGCCTTGCATAATGGTTACATTTATACAGAATAATGTAAATCTTCGGAGGTCATCTGTTACATTTTAAGCATATAAATAGTTGTTTAATTGGCAAAATTTTGAGATAATCGACTACAAAATCAAATTTAATCAAATGATAATGGTTTTTATATAATCTTGAAGAGAACATAACGTGCATATATACTGAAATCATCATTCAGTATGCCAATCAAATCTACATCCTCGTCGCGATTCCATTAGAGCAATTTTTCCGACAAAACAAATTCAATTGCCATTTCAGTTGTTGCAACATTGTGCTGCAACTTGAAAATTTGATGAAAATCCATTTGGTATAGTATTGTTATTGGCTACGAAATGAAAATTGAAGTGTCAAAAGCTAAATTTATGTTTTTGCATTATGAACACAAATGGCCGAGATTCAACCGGCAATAAATGATATTTCAAAGGCAAACAAAATATTTCCAAGTTGGAAATTCCAACTATGTATAAATTGTGTAGCAATTAAGTCAAACTTTTCAAATATGAAGCATTTAACAAAAGATTAATATTTGCTCATAACAATAACATTGCATTTTCGGCATTCTTCTATATGACTCAATGCTACCGCATCCGTTACAAACATTGTGATTTAATTCTGCAAAGTTATTGCCAGAGTTGAAATGGCACTCCCGTTTGGAATATCTCCGACAAGTTTCCATGGTTCAAATTTAGACAGAAAACTTTGTTATCTGGCACTTGAAAGTGGAATGTTCCGTAATTGATTTGTTTTCAAGGTGAAAGGCACATCAAACAAAGAACATAAATTATTCGGTGAAATATTCCATTTCTGCACGGTTTCTTACTTTGATAATGTGCATTTTATTATATTAACAATGCGAAATATTTTATTTTATTTTTGATGCGAGTTTGAGTGCGGTAAATTTGGGATATATAATTTGATTAAGAGTTAAAATTAAATGAAGCAAAATGATGGAGCACTACATACTACGACGATAGTAGTTCATTTTATGTAGGTACTTAAAATGGGATTTTAATGACAAATTCTAATGTTTCATGTCACACATGCACATTGTAATGCAATGTAAATAATATCTGTATATCGGTTTAATATATCAATATACAAAAGCCATTCACATCAAAATGAGAATCATAATTTCACAATAAATTTGATTCGTGATTAAAAATGCTATTGAAATGCGAGATTACAATTTGATTGTGAAATGTACGGAGTCCTCAAATTCAGCACAAAGCATACTCTTTTTCCAACCGGTTGGGTAATAACTTTTCCATAAATATTTGAATATCTACACATAAAGAGACAGAGAAGTGAATCACATATCGTTTGTGTCAAAGTGAATGCAATGTGCATTGCGTTTGTGCATTTTTGATGACTTGAAAAATGATTCCAGTCACTCGAAAATTACACTTACGAAACCACTTAAATAGACAATCGCAATGGTGATTTGAATGATAGAAACAACAACTTAAAATATACATACTTTATCCGCGCATCAAGCACAATAAATTAAAACGTTATTGCAAATCATACGGAACGGCGTGTGTCTGAATAGACGCTACAACACAAAATGAAAAGTACATTTTGATGTAAATCGCCATCTAGTAGTGTTTGCTTGTTTCGTACTTGATTGTGTCGAGTGCATATTCATAAATTAACAGAGATATTTGCTAACTTGTTCATTGTTTGGATTGTCTTGTATATTCGTGCATCTTCATTCACTTTGGCGTTCAAATCTCCAATGCAATCGATGAAATGGTGCATAGCTCATGTCTCAGTGAGAACATACTGACTACCGGAAAACGACAGAAAAAAACCCAACAACGATTTAACTAATCAAGTTATTGCCTCGTCAGCGTACTTATTTCCGTTATGTATACGACACCGAATACACATGCGTCAATGTATTGTAGTTGCTCGTTTAAAAGTTTATAAGAGCAATTCTTATTTGCCGTTTATGCCATTTCGGTGTGATCGTATAAAATCAGACACGGCTGCATCGGGCGAAAATTGTAAATTGCACAACGCTGAAAGTAGATTTGGGTGGCGTTGCAATGACCGAAACGATGGTAACTTCTCGGCAATCGCATTAAACATAAAACCTACCGTTTTCGCGCAAATTGGCTTGAGCTAGCGATGTGCACTATGATTTTTAGCAAAATAAATAACCCGTTGAACACATATTGAGACCGGAGATGCGCGCATACTTAATGCAATTGCATTGTGAATGTAAATAACACATGAAAATACACGATAACAGCGAAACGCGTTGGTTCGAAACGAATGTCAGAGAGAGATAGTGGGAAGAGAGCAGCATTGAGAGAAATGAGAATGAGAAATGAATGAAGAGACAGTAGCAAATTCACAGTAGGAGAAAAGGTACAAACGAACTAAATAACAAATGATAATACGCATGCATAGAAATAAACAACCAGCTCGCCGAGCGACGTGATCATGTCATTGCATTATGCAGTCAAGTTTCTGTTACCGTTGCTGCTGCTTCTGTTGTTGGTTGCTCACAATACGCCCATTTAGAATTTGTGGCATCTATTCGAAATACCTTTATACATGCAACGCGGCTGGCAAGATGCATTTCAGTGAATGGCAAATAACTATTCGTTTACTTTTCCCATTCAGTTGATTGCAATTTACTAGTTTGTGTTGCCGCCACCTTTCATTTCATAGCAAACTGCTCAACTACACACAATGTTTTATCGACCAAATCGAAATTACATGAACATTTTTAATTTAATAATATGATTTGCTTCCGATTCTTCATTAAAGTTGAAAATTCGAATTTCGGTCCTCGAACTCGCATTTATTTACAATGGATTTTTGAAATTGAAATGACACGTTTCGTGTGCAATGTCTTATGATTCATTGTTATGTCTTTCACATTGACATTAAAATACGTCGTAATCGTAAATGTGCCAGTTTTACATAAAACACGATGTTGCACACCATAATCGCGACGCGCCATACACATAATACCTGAACGAAAACTCTCTGTCTTACTCACATAACTTTCTATTTTATTTGTCATGTAAAATTTCAATTTCCTTTTCGTTTCAGTTTTTGTTGGTAATTATAATTCCTCATCATTTTAGATGCATTTTTGCATTGTACAGTTCCACAGTCGTTTTAAATAAGCCTCAATTGCGACAAAAATATATAAATTTCTTACTTTTTTTTCTTTCGCACGAGCTCTTTTCCTCCCTCTCGCCATCTCTTTAGAGTCACGGTAGAATTGTGTAAGGGTTCATGTACAATGGCAAGCAAGACATTCAATATGCTTACATTCAAAGTATGCTGAATTCATAGCAAAACGACGTTTAATAATAAAAGTTAGAATTACCGGCTAAAAGTGAGACAAAGATAGAAAACAGACTCGGCCGATTTCATACCGTACACCAACAACAAGAACAACCGTTTCGCATTAAATATTTAAAATTACGGAAAACGTTCAGTTCATATTTCGCCGTGCAGTTTGTACCATAATCATTATTACGACTGTCGTTTTTATGGTTTTCGCTATTATTGCCGGATTATTTTATGGAACATGGCATTTATGTTTAGTCCACCTATCTCTTCCATTCGTTTTTTTTTTTTGCGTATACATATCTATCTCTCTATACAATAGTGCACAAATATGAGACATGAATTTCATTACGACTATCATTTGCTCGATTTTATTTCATTTGATCCAATGCCAATTCAGTTTCAATCCTCTGTGTTTAATAGTTTTATATTGCATATATGTATGAAGATAGCGTAATACGGTGATGGAAAGTAATCGCTTTTTCACTATTATCTCGACGATGTTATCTATTGTTAACTTTTCGCTGTGTCTAGCCGTCGTTAAACTGTAGGCAATCACTTGGAAACAGTAATGAGCTTATGATTTTGAGCTATTTGGATTTGAAATGTACGTTTTGCGTGGTATATATACATTTTATGGTTTTAAACCGATCTAGTGACAACCTCTTGATATGTGAACGAATAGTTTACGAACACTAAATTCAACTATTTTTTTTTTGTAGGTGAATGTATATAGTCAATCAAATACCGATTTTACAGCTTAACTTACATTTGATTACGTGTGTCTGGGATTACTCGATTACTAGGTAATTGGTCGGAGGCTTGTTGATTGAACCGGTTTCTTTGGTATGGATCTTCGCCTGTTCGTAATCCACCGCGTTGTATGTATCCGGCTTCATCGAAGTAATCGAATGTAAGCCGTGGTGATGTGTCGCCGATTAAAAATCCTAATTGAACACTATTGTGTGCTGGTGATGTTGATGCTGACATTTCATCTAAGTATTGTGGTGCAGTGGCTGTTTCGCGTAAGCGAAGCGCTCGATTTTCATTCTGAAAATGAAGAAAATAAAAATATTATTTAAAAAAAAACCGTTTTCAATCAGTAAATTTCGCTTTTTTGCACATTTTACAATTCAAAGCTCTTTCATTTTTATTCTTTTTTTTTCATCCCAAATTATTTTCATTTTTGTTGATTATTATTTATTCAATCCATTTGTACTTATTATTTTGTATGTTGGTTTTTGTGTCAATATGTTCATATACATATATGAATCATTTTACTTTTTTTTAACTCTTTTTTTTAAATGTGTAACTTTTTGGTTTTAATTTCATTGCAAATTATCTGAAAAATTGTGCAATAATTGAGCTTGCTGATGCTACAGTTGTAATCAGCTTATATGTGTACATCAATTAAATTGCACAATTATTTTCATAATTTCGACGAAAAAAAACCGACCCCTTTTTTTGTGATGAGCTTAATATAAAAGATTTACATTATTAAATGAAACGAAATGGCAAACAAATGACGGTTAATCAATTAAATTTAATGAGGTTCAAATGGATTGGCGTAAAAAATCCTCTTTGAATTGAATTCTGATTGCATATTTTTTATCTTGAATGTAGCGAATCATATAATTCGGAAACGAATTGTTTCGAAACTTTTTCTCTTTATTAAATCAAAATGTAATTGTATAGCGTACAAGTTGTTGCTGCGAAGAAAAAACAAATTCATCATTTATACGGTTCATCATATTGCCCAACATCAATTTAGAATTCATAAATTGAAAAGAGCCGCTTGTTAGAAAGAAAAACTTTGTTTTTATGTTTTACCCCGAAACAACTGCTTTTAATGACATACATGAGCAACTCACTAATGACGAACAAATCAAAACTTCAACATTTTTTTTCTTTCATTTTTCTCTCCTCCGCTTTCTCTTCCTCGCAATAAATGCGTCTCTAGGTTATTTTAATTTAATCAACATTTTAACCTAGCGCTCACAGAAATAAATGTGAAAAGTAATGAATGATTTCTTTCTGCGTTGAATGTTTTGCATCTGTTCTTCGAAAAGTCGTTATAATTCAATAAAAATGATACACTTCATATGAAATATTGAGAGAAAAAAAGTTCGCCTATGAATCATTATTCCATGCAATTCCATCAGTCATGTCTTATCTGAGAAATACGACGAAATAGCAACAATGTTTCATCATAGAAGTGAGAGAATGGCAGAAAAAATGTTCAAGTAAACGAATGAGGTAACATTACGTTTCACTAATTAAATTATGTTATCTTTTAGTGCCAAATATTCGGTTGAACGAGAACATAATTCACATTCGAAACCACATACACACAAACATCCATTCCATATTCAGTTAAGCAGTAGACAAAAGAGCACTGCACAATGTGAATCAGGACATGTGCTTGGAATCATCAATGTATGTTCGCTTGTGAGTTTTTGTTTGTTCAACAAATTAACCGCACACTGAACGTTGATGGCGCTATCGCGTTGAACGTGAAGAGCATCGACATTCAACATTCAACGCACACAGAGAGAGAGAGAGAGAGGCCAATGTGAAACGTCTTTAGCTATTTTATACTTGGCTAAGATATATCTATATACATTTAGGTAGAATATTTGTGATGCGAACATGTTTCAACCGATATTTTGGATTCAATCAATAATTTAGCAGCTGCAGAGAACGACTTACGATAAGTGTGCACATCACATGATATGCCATGATTTGAGTGGGCCGCCACATATTTGCCGTAGGTGTTGTAATCCAAAGACGGTGTATGAATTGACTTGTAATTTATTCAATAAATGAAATTAATATATGTGAATTATGAAGTAATATACAGAGACGCGTGAACAAAATGTACAGCATTGGTATATTGAAACAAATGTTCAATAAAATGCCGACAACTTGGCTTCGTTGGTTGTTTTCGGCTAATCGATTGGGCGCTACTGTTTCGAAAACGTTTCGATAGAATCTTGAATTGTGAGTAAATATCCACTTGACGACAGGGTAATCATATAATAATTGAAACAAGGTGCAATAACCGCATACACGCAGAACGAATGCCATCGGCACAGTCCATAAGCCAATAAATGACCGTACGTGATGGATGAAATAGTGAAATATTCAATTTGAAATACGACGACGATGATGATGATGACTACTATTGTAACCGTACAATTGAATGCACGATATTTTACATCGTATGAAAGTGGATGCAATACAATCGACAAGGTCGTGTATAGCCACTTGAATTTTGGATAACAACAAACTTAGGAATTGGTGAAAGGGACGTGTTCTTTTTAACAGAGTTCGTTGCTTGTCCGAGATGATTTTCATCTGTAAAGCCATTTGTAATTCACAAAATGGATATCGTTGGAATGGTTGTGGGTTTTATGCTAATTTCTCAGGTGGTTTTCCACGTTATTTATACAAAACTCATATGACAGTTAAGCAAATAGTTTAAACACAACCATATGAATTTGAACACTTTACTCAACTGCTCCCCCTCTATCTCTCAATTTTACATTTATTCCAAATTCTGGTTGCATTTTTCAGTTTAAACTTGAAAAAAAGAGCCCCAATGCAATTCTCTTTCTGACACATTGGGTGGGCATAAGAGTAAAAAGAGGAACGGAAACCATTAATAATGAATCGAAATGTGAGAACGAACATTTTCTCTATTTTTAATTAAAAAGCTAAAATGAATTCCGACCAGAAGGAGAGAGCTGAAAGGGGAAAAAACGAAAGTTGGAATTAAATCAGTTGGGATGTAAATCATCACCGCAAATATGTAACTCGAAATGAATGGTAAATTAGATGAAACTCGACGCTATTGCGGTCTTCATGTACTTGAAGTTTTCTGTGGATAGGTTGATGTACGCACACACACATTGTGAAAGCACACACACATTTCAGTTTGAGAAATTTTACTTATCGATTTGAATTCAGGTTTTATATGTTATCATCAACAAGCATTTGCTGCTCAGTTTGGAAAAATGAAAAAGGAAGGTTGCATAGAGTAAAAAGCTCTTTGAGCAAGGTACCAAAAAGCAATAGTGAACAAATGACTGTTGGCAACATGGGAAAACTTTGGAAATTTTCAATTTAGCACATCTCGAGACTTTCGCTCGGTTTTTAAGTGTGCGGTAGTATGCACGCACACATAAAGTGTTACACGTTGTTGTTTTATATGAGAGTATGTGGTTTGACGATACATTACATTTGGTTGAATTTTGCATTTGCTACAAAACGTTGGTCGTTCATGAGGTACCGCATACATTTGGAAAGAGAATGTAGGCGGGGAGATGGAGATTGAGTGAGCATTACTTTGAATACATCATCATTTTTCCAAACCCTTTCCCATATCCTCATTCATCTTGGAGACAAACACTCCTTCATATTGTTGCTTGTTTACATCACTCAAAACATGTAAAAATGTTGCAATGCTCCGAACATATTTGTCCCGATTGAAACTCATTTCTTGTCAACTTTCAAGAAAATCTCATTTTCACAAAGATGTTCACAACTTTTCAACGAATTAAAATAAAATTGAAACCAAAGAGAACTTGAACAATTCTCGATTCCCTTCATATTTTCACCCCATTCATTTTGATCTACCTCATATTCATTTCACATGAAACTCTCATCTACTATCTTATTACAATCTCTTGCACACTTTCTTCATTTTCTTATATTTTCCACTATCAAATCAGTTCTTTTCTGTATTTTTTTAATTTCGTCTTTTGCATGTTCGCAAACTTTCTATAAGATAAATTCCATTTGGTTGGATGTCTTTGGCCGCATCAAAAATCATCCTTTTTCTAGTCCTTTTTTAATTAACAAAAAGAAAATAACGACCGACAAAACATTACATCTGAACAGTTTTTGCAAATGAAATCCATTCGAATGTGAATTAAAGGGGAAAAAAGCTCTCGATGGAAAACTTCAACAGGCCCAATTTATTGCACACCAAAAAAAAAAATCAAACAAATCAGAGTATAAAAGTTGAAAGTAAAACTTATAACATAATCGCAAAGAATTTAATCGTGTTATATTTTTCCATCGAAAGAAATTGCAAAGCACTCGAAAAATGCTTCACTTTACTCTTTAGGAAAACTTTTGAAAATAAAATATTTTCATCATCGTCGTGTTTCTAATGCAATTACACTGTTGAGCTGCACTCAACTCAGCCATCATTGAAACGAAAATTACAGAGACGCGCTTGCGGATGCACGCACACAATACCACCGACAGTGAACAAAGTTGCCAACACTAATTTGGTTTTTGTAAGTTAAGCGAAAAATGTATATATTTTTGTCTTGTTATAACTTTACTATTTTCAGCTTATGTTTTTAGTTGAATCAGTTAATTAATATAAATCGTCATAGAAAAGTCAAAAGCTTCGCTTGCGAATAATTAATCGAAATGCAACACCATATTGTACTGATGACTAAGTGTGCACAAGCAAATATATATGCTCTCTCGGTAGATATAATCACAAAATATACATTGCAAAGTGCTAAATGTTTTCTAATTAAGAATTTACCGTGCGCAAAACTTAAATAGCATGAACACACACACTTAGTCACTTTATCTAAATTAAAATTGCACAAGAAATTCGATTTACTGATGAGTTTTGTACTTTACTTTGGTGCGTGGCATGCAACATGATACATAGTTTACATTTTCTTTGCTTTCGATAAGCATATAGCAATAATGCGTAGGACACCAAGCTGCAGAAGTAAACGCCAAACTGGAAAATGCACGGTGAACTTTATCAAAATTTCGAAAAGATGAAACTTGAAAAGCTACACCAGGGGAAAAACTTTAAATAATCGAATATATTTTATGCTCTTGGTTTCTCAGCAAACCCAAAGTGTTTCGTCTTCGGGCTGTATATTACTTTGCGTTTTTGAATGTTCATCACTGTCTCTGGTGTGTATTTTAACATTTTGGTCAACATTTTTTCTTCTCCTCTTTGTTTTCATGTATATATAATTTTCGATTGACCCACCATCGTTCGAACTATG